ACTTTCAAAAAATTCCGAAACAAACCTATCTAATGGAGACAAATAAACTAAACCACATTTGCCTGGGCACTACATCCAAATTCTTTATCAAATTTGAATTAAAAATCCAATACAGAAAATAAACACTCTGATAAAAAAAAGAAAAAGAAAAAGATAATTAAAATGAGTGAGTGTGCCAGCACCTTTTCAACACCGCCGTCTTTGCCGATTTTTAATTATTGTTTGGCATTGACAAATCCCCTGTAAATTAACAGATATGTAGTTTACATAATCAATAACCCATTAAAATTTTTTCAAAAAATAATTAAATTGTTTAGGCCCCGAAATAAAGTGAAAACAAAAAGTTAAAAGTGAAAAAAAACAAAATAGTGAGTGGGCGAGCACGTTTTGATACCCCCATCTTTGATGATTTTTAATGTTTGTTTAGCTTAGCAGAATGGCTTCAAAATTTATAGGCGTGTAGTTTACATCATAGAAAACTCACACAAAACAAATAAAAAAAAAAAAACTTATTTTTAGGCCCTGAGATAGTTTTTGGCGGGGACCGAACCCGAACCTGTAGGTGTTGGGCCCCTGAACGGGGCCCCGAACGCCCGAACGTTCGGGGGCGAGCCCGGGGCCCCTCGAACGTTCGGTCAGATAACCCTGCATATATATATATATATATATATATATATATATATATAGTGAGTGATAGTCTACTTTGATTTTGGTTAAGGTAGATTATCATTTACAGTGTAATCAGTGAGGGGATTCTGTAGACTGTTGAGGGTTCAGCCTCCTGATGACTCGGAGTCAGTGAAACTCCGACGAAACAGTTTGTCACAGCCCCTCGTTTGTTGTCCTCTTCTTTCTCTCTGCCTACGGTTTACCGGACAGTTTTGTTTGTGACGATATATGCTACGACTTCGCTAACTTCCTGCTACGGTTTTTTCCGGTCTGGTCGAGCGGCAATGGTCGGGGCCGTTACTAGGCGGCCATGCTGTGCCTCTAGTGCCAGCGATGTGTCTGGGGTGTATTTTTTGGCCGTGACAGACCTTTCTTTGCTTCGTGGATGTTTTGCTGGCTTCTGATGGGGTGTGAACCGACAGTCTGTAAAATTTTCCATCTGGTGTGGGTGAGTGATAGTCTACTTTGATTTTGGTTAAGGTAGATTATCATTTACAGTGTAATTAGTGAGGGGATTCTGCAAACTGTTGAGGGTTCAGCCTCCTGATGAATCGGTGAAACTCCGACGAAACAGTTTGTCACAGCCCCTCGTTTGTTGTCCTCTTCTTTCTCTCTGCCTACGGTTTACCGGACAGTTCTGTTTGTGATGACAGGGTCACCAGCCCGTACGTACGGAGGTCCCCGGGCAAACCTCCGTACGTACGGGCGTTCGGGGTCCCGTACGGGGTCAGAACCCGACGGCGTTCGGCCCCCGCCAAAAAATATTTAGGGGCGTAAACATAATTAATTTTTTCTGAATATTGTTTTGTTCGTTCTTTATGATGTGAGGTACATGCCTGTAAATTTTCAATTCATTTTGAAAACCCCAATAAGAATTAAAAATCTTCAAAGATGACGGTGTCAAAATATGCTCGCCCACATATTTTTTCACTTTTTACTTTTTGTTTTCACTTTAGTTCGGGGTCTAAACAATTTTGTTATGTTTTGAAACATTTTTCAGTGGGGTTTGTATTATGTGAAGTACACATCTGTAAATTTTCAGGGCAAAAAATAAATAAAAAATCGCCAAAGATGGCGGTGTCGAAAACATGCTCACGGACTCACAAAATTTAATTCTTTTTTTATTTTTATTTATTTTTATTCTTAGTTTTTTTTTTCCCATATTTTATTTTAATTTCAAATTTGGTAAGCAATTCGGATGTAATGCTCAGGCAAATCTTGTTTAATGCATTTTTCTCCATAACATATCTTTTTTTAAGATTTTTTTTTTTTTTTTTCTTTTTGGTCCGTGTTCGGCCCGATCGGCCAAACGCATCCCCAAGGGGTCCCATACGTTCGGGCGTTTGGGTTCGGCCGTTCGGCCCGTCACGAACGTCGGTTACCCTGTATATATATATATATATATACAGTCTGTAGAGTTTTTCATCTGGTGTGGGTGAGTGATAGTCTACTTTGATTTTGGTTAAGGTAGATTATCATTTACAGTGTAATCAGTGAGGGGATTCTGCAGACTGTTGAGGGTTCAGCCTCCTGATGAGTCGGTGAAACTCCGACGAAACAGTTTRTCACAGCCCCTCGTTTGTTGTCCTCTTCTCTCTCTCTGCCTACGGTTTTACCGGGCAGTTCAGTTTGTGACGATATATATATATATCGAACTTGGTTGTCTAACGATTTTTTCCGGCACTCACACACAAACAATCTCATACACGCCCACACATGCATAAGAAGAGGGGGAGAGGTGACAGAGTCAAAACTGCACACAGACAAGGATAAGCAGCGAAATTCAACCATGCACACATGGGGGAGGTCACACAATGACTCTCACTCTCCGACAGACTCCCAACAAACAATCACAATAAAGAACCTCAGCAAGATCACAATTGATATGATGCTGATGATGAGCCAACTCGAACGAATATCATAACAGAGTTTGTTCCAGTCCCTTGCTCCCCAATCGATTTCCCTCATTCTACTAATAGAGTACAGTACTCTAACCTATACCTAGACCGAACTGACTAACCGACCAATACCGTTGCAGTTTCGGTCTCTCGGCCTCTACCGGACCCGACTATAGGTTATAGGACCGTCTATCAGCTTAGGCCATTAGGGCCTGTCTGTCCTGGGGTAGTCCGGGCCTGCTATTCGCAGTAAGGGTACGTATAGGAAATTCGAAATACCGTTGGGCCTATATTTCCCATATTTACAGACATGGCCCTCACGAATTTTCCTCACAGGTTGGTCTCACGGTTAGCCCTCAGTCGAACAAAATAACAAATGTAACCCTACGAGGTAGTATACAGCCTCGCCATCCGTCTTGGCCGTCTGACTGAGCAAATATATATATATATATATATATATATATATATATATATATATATATGTGTATATATATATATATATGTATATATATATATAGCGACCACCAACACGTCCAACTAAAAAGCCAACAAATATAAAAGTCGCATGTACAAGAGACTACGACATAACACAATGTCAGTCGTCGAACAACTCGACATCATCTGCGTCCGATAGAGAATCGCACGATCGATCGGACACGGCATTTGCCGGTCCAGGCAACCGATTCCCGTCGCCAATGATGAAAACATCGTCATCCCCCACAACGTCGGGATCCGCACCTGAATCAACATCGTCCTTGTCACGGGCAATGGTCTCCTCGCCTCTGCAAAAAAGATCGCGAGGTAGAGGAGGTGTCGAGGACCCGACCTCGCCCGACACATCACAATCGTCGTACTCGAAAAGGCGTCGAGCCCAATCTGAAACGCATTTTGAACCGAAGATGAACGTGGACAATCGATCTATCCACGAATCGGTAGGTGGCCGATTGTGAGGGTAGTGGCTCGACCTTGGACGAATCGAAGTCCCAGAAGGCGTGCGGACACGATACTCCAAGGGATCCTGCCATGCATGACTGTTCCATCGAATGACTGCAATTGCCAAATGCGGCTCATACGACTTCTCAAAGTGCAAGGCCTTCTTCGCGTAAATGATGATTGTGCCCTGGAAGGTCTCAACCGTCGACGTGTGACGGAACTCCGTGTAGTACGAACAAACGGTCGTGTTGCAATGCCTGCCCAACGTCTGGCGAATGATGTCATACACGAGGTCGTCGTGCGTATACGGAGGCAGCCGAGATGGGCCACCCGCCTTTGAGCATAAAAGCTCTCTGTCCGCAACGCACCTGGAGTGGTCCCGTGCCCAATGGTCGGCGATCATCATGATATCATTGTGCACAGTGACAAAGTCGCCACCCTCATCTCTGCAAAGCTGGGAAGCACGAAGAAACCGAGGCCCCACCTCATGCATATGGAACTCAGTCACACCATCTGCATCCACGAGTAAGGATTTGTTTTTTGTCATCGTGCCGTACGGGTACATTTTGCTCATCACTCTTCTTTTGCCGTCAAACACCCTGGTCCAAAATGGTCCGTCAAGGCAACCAACAATTCCTTCTTCGTGAAATGCATAAACTGAGATTTCGAGACGCACTGATGAGGGTTGTTCAATTTCTTTGGCACCTTCAGTGTCACGTCTTTTCTAAGTGCCTTGCGAATGTTTTTCACCTTATGATGGCAATCCTTCTACCATTCAATACCCAGGCGCTCCAACTGTGGACCCAATGCAGCACAATCGTCGGAGACAACACACCGGATCTACAACCCCCTCGTCAGCAAGCCTCTCAACAGGCGCACAACAACAGAAACCTCAAGTTGGTTCGACGCCTTTTCCTCCTTCTTTGGGCGAAGAGTATGAACACCCACCACAAGACGAGTATCACACTCAATCACGGTAACATTGCAATGTTGCGCAGACCTGGCCGAGTCGAAGCGACCGTCAACCATCAAAGTGACGGGTCTCCCTGATCCCATAACTTTGTCAATGGTCAAGTCGCAATACCGCACGCCCTGCCTGACAACCTTTGCATTCCAACCCTCACGCACATTCGGCTCACCGCGCATGCAACTGTAAAAAGTGGGCTTGTGCACAGGTGCCACCCCAAGTGCGATGCAGAAGTCGTTGAGGATGGTATATGTCATACCCGCAGTGACGGTCGCATGGAACAACTGCTGCTGAAGTCTGCAAGAGTACACAGCTCCCACACAACCAGTGCACTGTGCCATGCCCAACGACAGGACTTCTTACAAGCCAACGAAATACGACAAATCTGCCGAGGATAACCAACAGAGGACACATCCACACCACAACCGGTCCCGTGGAGCGGGCAACTCAAATCGAACAACCCGAGCAACTCCAGCAGCTTCACCGGCTCCACGAAGACGACATCAGGCGCTTTCGAGCCTTCCCAGTGCCCCATCGATTCCAGCACATGTGCAGACCGATTATTGCAAGGTCCGCTTTGCAGAGCACCATCCTTCGAATCATCCCAGTACAAAGGACGTACATCTTTGAAATGCGAACGCGACCTGCCATGACTCGGTGGCCGTCCGCGCGATCTGCGGCCACGCAGTGACCCATGCCCTGAACGCGGAAGTGAATCATCCGACCCACAAAATGACCCGCCATTGCCTCCACCGCTCCCTGCGCCCTCACGCTCGCCATCATCCTCAGCGTCCGCTGTCGAATCATCCCCTCCTGCTCGGAGACGGAACACCTCAGCATGACTGCTGACCAGTAGTGTTCTCTTGATCCTCGACGCCACACCATCCCCGAACTCTAACCGGATAGCTGGCAATGACCAATGCAACAGTCGGTCGATGACATCGCTCATGACCCTAGACTTTTCGCTCACTTATTTCATCGCAGATTGGAAAAGGCGCAGTCTCTCCTTGCAAGCGGAAGTCAGGAACAAACGAGAGTACTTCGTGGAGCCAGTTGACTGCGAACCGAATTGCCCTAAGAACCCGCCTGGCTGTTCAGAAGGACCCGCACCAATATTTTGAGCGCCAGGATCCCAACATCCGGGCCCATCTCCGCTACCACACACGATGTCATCCTCGTCGAACCGGGAGACGAGAGAGCCACGGGCGGAACTACGGTCATGTGTGTCCCCGACAGAGGTACGACGTACATCATCCAATACACATGTGTGTCCCCTGCCCATGACCTGATGCGGCGAACGAATGTGAGACCCACGGTTCTGCACTCCGATGTCCTCCGTCACGCAGTGTGGACCCTCCACTTCCAAGCACCGCTGCTGATGATTGAGAACACCACTCTAGGGGGATGGAGTCCAACCCGTCGCGTCCAACGACAAGTGGAGGAGGAGGAAATGGCTGCGCTGCACACGACAGAAACTGCAAACGGCGAGGTTGCACTGGCGGCGACAGCATAGGAAAACACAACGCATCGAAATCCGACAAAGGGTGTACCGGAGTGTCTGACCGGCGCTCTGGAGATGGCAACAAGGGTGGCAACGGAGAATGCACAACTGCAACGCCGGGAGTGACGACGACCTCAGGCGAAAGAGAGTGAACACGAGGCCTCTTTGTTGATCGCATGTCATTCGGGCTGCCGTAAGGGGATACTCCCAGCAAACCGTGCTGTCCGGCATGCGGTGACACTGGCGTGGCGTTGCCACGCGCGGGCCAAGTGGGTGGCCGTTCTGCTGACCTGCCGTCATCAGGCGTGCAACTGCCAGGTGCGTCATCCATGACAGATGGCCGGCCCTATCCTGCACCGTACGTGTAGTGCATGCTGGACGGTGCAATGCCGGCAACACAATTTCGAAATGGATCAACTGTCAAATCGCAAAAGATCTTGATTGGTTTGGTTTATTGATTGATTGATTGATTGATTGATTGATTGATTGATTGATTGATTGATTGAGAGATTGATTGATTTGATTGATTGATTGATTGATTGATTGATTGATTTGATTGATTGA